CCCCCTAATAGTGCCGACTCCAACGAGGCCGTCCGGATAACGCCTCAAAAAGTAGCTGCGCAGCTCCTTACATCACCTCACCCTAATGACGCCGGAGCGGCACCGGTAATTCGTAGCTCTGCATTGCGGTACTCCAGAGCGGGTCCATTTCAGCACCACGGCGAGCCCAAAGCATTCCACAGAAATTAAGAGGCACGAAAGGCGAAGCGCGGTCGGTCTTACCTTCGAGACAGAAGGACTGGGAAGAGAGAGAAAAAAAAAGAAAGAAAGAAAGAAAAATCAGTAGTCTGTCTTCATGGCACACACGAACCCGAACCGCATCGCCCCCAGAAACAAGCCCACCCGCCGGAACGTCCCGTTCAGGGTGAACTTTTCTATTGGCTCAGAGCGGCGCGTGAGGAGGGAGGCGACGCCGTGGCTGTGATTGGTCCATGAGCAGGAGAGGCTGGGAGGGATGCAGGAGACACGCAGCTGCGCATCCCAGACAGGCAAAGGCGTCATGGAAATGATGAAAACATAAGTATTTGCCCACCTGCGGATTTTTTATTTTTATTTTTTCCATTTTATGTTGCTCTCTGCTTTTATTTTGAAGTGAGGATGTCACACTTTAAAGTTGAAGATCATAAAAGGACATGTCAATATCACCCAAGGATAAATAGGACGTTTTTCCCCCTCTTTATTTACTAACATTTAGAGCATGAATATTCTTTATTATGATAATCTTTATTTATTTATTTACATTAAGTTCTTAAAATGATCTGAAGACCCAATACATGCTGATTTAAGATCCCATCTCCACCACGGTTATAATGGATGGGTTCGTGAACTCTGAAATGGCACCACATCTTAAATACAAACCTGAATTGGATCATTATCGATGTGAAGATCCCTCATGTTTTCATTCTTAAAAGAACATAAGTGAACAACTCTCAAAATGCTGCTCAATCTCAAACATGGCTGCCTTAAAGAATAAGGAAGGAGAGCATTAATAAGTAAAGAAGGCCAACTGTAATTCTGAAAAAGCTGCAGAGACACAAAGTTTAAGTGGAACAATCTGTGAACACAACATCGATTCTTTATGCAATCGATAAATCTCGGCTTTATGGAAGAGGAATGTATACAGTTGTGTAGGAAAACATATTGGGTGCAAAAGACATCAGTCTAAAGGTGACGTTCACATTTCACGAGGAGGACAACAGGTACAATGAAAGAGGTTTAAATCACACTGTATTAACTCTATTGACTATGATCCAATCAAAGTCCAGCCCTGATTCTACAAGTTGAAAAGAAACGTTCAAATGTTTAAAGATTGGATAGATCCACTAGGTGGAGCCAAATCTCACACTTTAACACGTTGCACTGCAGCAAAGATACAAAAATAAACTGATTTGAAATCCCGAAACCAACATTTATTCGTTTTTTTTTGTACTTCATTTAAAATACAAAATATTTTGCAATATTATATTGTGAAGTAAACCATTCAACAGCCTTTCATGCTTCTCATTTGGTTTCAACATTAACCAGAATGTTATAATTATATACTGTTTCAGCCAGCAACATTGTTTCCAGGGTATTCACACTGAAATGCACCAGTTAGTGTGTCCATGCCATCCTATTGTATTATCCAAATTAGTAGTATATTTTTCATTTTCCAGTGCACAATCCTAAAAAAAAAAGGCATCTAATATAGATTAGATGCCTTTTTTTTTAGATGTGCAAACTTATTTTGAAATAATAGTCCACTTAATGTTGTTTTTTTTGGTAATATTTATATATATTAAATATAAAAAGGCAGAAAATGTGCATGAACTGGCAGAAATAGAAACAATACAGGTGTCACAAGAGCTCAGTCACAAGTTAAATCATCAGAGGTGATACCCGATACTGTAGGCTAAACATGTTTACCTGACGATAATATATAAAAGAAAAAACAAACAGAAGTTCACACTAAATCAAAGAGTGAATACTAGAAGTCGTCTAATTCCTCACAGTCTAACTTCCTCACCCCATGCCAACTCTGATCTTAACACGTCTAAGCTCAAATCAAACCGTTATTTACAATAAACAGAAAATATATATATCTACACGCGGTGTTCTGACATGTTGAAACCTAAAAACTTGATGCAAGTTATGATAAAGACATGAAAATGTTTTAAAAAACCAAAAAAAAAAACAATCTCCTATGTCCAGAAGGAGCAAACTACAGGACACACATTGGAACAATAGAAAGCAGTGTGAACTTCACGCATGCACACCATCGCGCACACACACACACACACGCAGCATGCATGTGTCGCACACGCTCGTGAACTCAGACATTCACACCTGTACGTCATCTGCAAAAACATGAAATCTGCACTCAGACTGTAATAACATATACTGCAGAAGGCAAGCAAAAATGCATAAACCAAAGTCACCAGTGCATTCACTCCTTGAAATGAAACAAGCAGTATTTTCATTCACATAAACAGATACACTTGTATCCACATTCAGTATTATTATCCCTCCCTCCCCCCCCCCCAACCCCCACACTTATTTTTCCCAATGGTGACGGTTACAACAGGACGAGATGAGGTGGTGAAGCTGGTTCACACTGGCAGTTATCTAGTGAGCAGTTTGGCAGTAGTTTAGTTTAGGTTTTCGATGAATGAGTTGAGGAAGGGAATGTTTGACATGAACGCGTGGATCTCGAGTTTCCGACCAAATGTCCATTTTAGAATTGCTTAGCTCTCAGCGAGATGCTTTCTTTTTATGAGGATGGAAGCTGAGTAACATGATTGTCGACAAAGCCATGACCATAGAGTTAAAGTAGGCTCCTTGCACTTACTGCCACTTTTGAAATCTGTTTTCAGCCTTGTGTAGGAACCTGGACCCCTAAGAAAATCTGAATTAGAACAGCCTTCATTAACAAGTTTCCCTTTAATTTGTTCTTTATAGCTTACAAAATAGTAAAATCTGTCATATTTTCTGGCAAAAAAAAAAAAAAGGTCATTATCGACTTTATATTAAAGGCTACTTAAAAAAAACTTTTTCTAAAAACGTTTTTTTCATGAGGTGCCTTTTATGAAGCTTTGAACATCCACCTTGTTTTTAAAATTTTGGTTTGCATAAATTGGCATTGAACTGTGGATCTAGGTAACTGTTTTCTACAAAGGCACTAGAAACCATGCTGACAGCTTTGTGATTACCAACACGTCGTTAAATACCTCCAATATTCCTAGCAAACTTGTACGATTAGAATATTTCCGTGAGCACGTGTACAGAAAACAAAGGTGGAGGATTAATGCCAGTGAAATTAATGTTAAGATGGGAGAGTTTTGACAGGGTCTGCACAGCGGGAAGCAATAGACAGCTACACTGGATCAGTCATTAGTGTTCAGCAACAAGGGTACAATGTAACGGTAATAGAGTATAAGGTAAATGATGGTAGAAACCAGGAGGCTACAAACAGACTGTTTGGAACCACAGTGGCTTGGAAATGTGTTGATACTTTTACTTTTTTATTGGATTTTGCCACATTACAACCTTAGCTCCAATGTATTTTTTAATAGCTAACGTAAAAGTTGCATGACTGTAAAATGGAAGGATTAGGATTTATGATAACCAACATTATTTTTTGCAATTGTAAAGTAACAAAAGGGCGATGTGCATTTGTGTTCTGCTCCTTTTATGCCTTGATTTATCTAAACAAAATCCAACTATTTTTCTACATCTGCCTGTTAATCGGAGGGTGTGCCTTTCACTTTTGAACAATGGACAACAGAGGCATTCACCCTGTATGACAAAGGACATTAGAGGGCATGCAGACACTCACAGAGGCCAGATACATGGCATGCATGCTTTTCAGTTGAAGGGGGGAAAAAAATCAAAGTACATGGAAAGAACCGATGCACTGTATGAACAGAAACTAAAACTTTAAGTAAGGAACCTCAAAAGTTTCCAACTATCAGCAATTGCCTTTAAAAATCACCAAGGACGAAATACATTGGGGGATGTTTAATTTTTTGCATAAACGCTTACGTTTTGTCAAAGTCTTAAGAGTTTGATTCGAGAAAATCAGTTTCTAGATTTGGAAAGCTGGTAGACACCCCTAATAACTTTCACCTGCAAAGACAAGCTTAATGTGACTCAGCTAAGTACAAATGCATGCCACTTTTCTTAGATTTTCATCATGAAAAATATTTTGAGAAATCTACGTGTCGATTATGAATCACCTTGTGTTGGTCTCTCCTATAAAATCCAAATAAAACCCATTGAAATATAAGGTTGCAATGTGAGAAAATGTGAAAAATTTAGTTTAGCACTGCGCTGCTAGCATGCAACACCAGGCTGGCTCTCCAGGCTTCTCAGGCTCTACGACCGGACACACCTGACCTGGACATATAGCTCCCATTCTTTCTCTAGCACACACACACACACGCACAAACAGTCCATCTGTAATAAAATAAAGAAAGGCAGTTAAATAAAAACACCTACTAGTTTCTACTTTGAGTCACTCTTTTTCGCAGCTGGAATCACAATACCACTTGCTGCCATGTTTTTTCTTCTATATGTCAAACACCATATAACACTTTTCTTTTCTGCAAGTAAGAAAATAACACCCTGGCTTACAGGCGTGCACCAAATACAACGCAAGATGCAGCATACTTCTGCAAAAAAAAAAAAAAAAAAGGAGACAAGAGGAAAGTAAAATGCTTAACAGACACACAATTTGCTCCATGCAGTTGCTTATGAATGTGATTCACTTATATTAGCCTGCCTGCGGATCATATGCCATACTTCCATCAAATATATATATATATATATATTTATATATATTCGCTATATTTATGATGTTTGTTAAGAGATCACTAACACGCACACGTACACTTGGCCTTGTTTCAGTCTGAGTGGTAAAATCCCCTCTGGCACATTTCGTCTGCTTTTCAGTATTGCTCGCCGTCTCTTTTCTTCTTTTAATGGTTGTGGGGGATTCTTAAGTGTGTGTTCACTGGTAGGTCACAGTGCGACTGGGGCTGCCGGGGTGTGGAGATGAGGACATGTCAGCAGTCTTGGCGTAAAGGCAGCCTTGACCACCAGAGTGACGGCAACCACAGGGTAAAGGTAGGTGCCCGCGACGACGGCTGTCGCCTTAGCAACTGTCACCACCGGGATGATCACATTTGCCAGGGTGACGCGGGGACTACCGTAGCAACCGCCGCAGCCAGGAGGGCGGCCGCGTTAGACAAACGAGTTCATGGCGTTGACGGGCGACGGCGCCTCCGAACTCTCGTTGCCCTCGTGCGTGTCCTTCTCCTTCTTGCCGCTGTACTGGCCGATGAAGGAGCCGTCCTCGTTGAACTGTCCGTCCCCGCCCTCCCCGTAGTCCACTAAACTGTCGTCGCTCTCGTCGCGCCGCACCGTCCCGTTGGATGGCGTCCGGCTGCCCTTCAGTGGCTTGTGGTCCTCAGTGTCACTGTTAAGAGGGCGGGAAGGTGAAGGAGCGAAGATTCGCTGAGAAATTATTCACGCCGTGGAATTCAAACAGGCTCTTCAAACACATTCACATCCTACAGCTATTCCACTGCACAAGTGCTACAAGAACATGGTGGCATTCCTTGATGCCAAATTTTACGTCTACAACAATTAGGCATGGGTCAGTTTTCAATATGCAAGATAGGTTTCCGTTTTAAACAATGACTTTCTAGAACCTTCCATTATGTTGTTTTTGCGGCATAAGGTGGTTGCTGCAGACTGACAGTCGGCCGAGGGAAAGAAATTTAAAATAAACTTTCATCTAACGTTTATGGAATGAATTTTTTCACTATTTTTAGCACAACATTTTCAACAAATACTGGCAACAACATGCAAGAGTTAGAAAGTAAGGCAAGATACAAATGAAGAAAGGATTCTATCACCAAACATCACCTGATTTCAATACTCTGTTTGTCTAGCTGTCCATTATACCAGCCCATGCCTAATTATAACTACACAAATTAATTAAGTCAACATTTACTGCACACAAAAAAAAAACAAATTGTAAGTTGTTCATATTACATTTTATGTTCCTGTACTTGTACAGTGGAGCAGCTCAGCTACATAACAGTATCATGTATAGCGTTAGTGCTTTAGTGCTTTAATGCTTGAAGCCTGTGCACTAATGGAGGAAGTCTGTCAAGTGCGTGCTGTTTGACTTGTTGCAGAGAACCTGAAATAAGAACTATTTTAGTCAATATGCCAGCAAGTAACATGCAGCAATCCAAAATGCAATCAGAATGTCTATTTTGATGCTGCATTTCAGTAAGAACTCCTTAGTCTAATCCTTTTTTTAATGCAAGCTTTTCAAGGATAATATCAACTCCGCCTTTAGATTTTTTTTTTCTTTACCGACTGTTTACAATCAACAAAGCAGTATTTATTTGTTAAAATTATGAAAACAGGGTAAATAAAAGCAACTCTTTTTGTGTTAGACCATTTACTAAGGTAATACAGACCCAGTTACACATGGTATTAACTGGAGGGGATAACTTTTAAGTATCTTTTTAAAACCGTAGAGAAGCTGATAACCGATTATTGACACATTACAGATGGTTTGAAATAAAGCTGGAAATATAACGCTCCTCTGTGCTGCACTAAAACAAGTCACAAAAAAATTCTTGGACTACTCCCTTCAAATTTAGGCAAGGAAATATTTTACAACTAATGAGGATCCAATGGCATAAAAGCTTGTCTTTCCCATTTTGAAGAGCAACTAGACGATGGTAAAAGCAGATATACGCATCAGGGTGACATTATGGAACTACAAAAAATAGATAAATTTATATTAAAGCTTTTTAACAGATCTATACATATCCATTGCTCAAAAACAAATAAAAACTAACAAGGAGACTAAGACAGCTTTAAAAGACAGCAATGTCTGGTTTCCTGACACTAACGTTCAAGTTATTAAATGTTATTTAAATGAACAAGACTGTCACCTTAATGCCAGGTGTAAACAGGGTCTGCGCTGAAGCTGCTTGTCCCCACAGATTAATCCACTAAAGTTAGAAAGCGCTTTAAAAGCAACCGAGGGTTGCGTTAGGTGCATGCTGGTTTTATTGCATGTCTTACCTCTCCATTGACCTAAATCCCACAGAGGAGAAAGATAAAAACGCAAATTTACATAAACAGCACTTTGTGGATAATTCATTAGTTTTTGGCCACAGAAAATGTATATGTATATATATCTCACAAAGATGAAAACTTACAAAGATGCAAGTTTCCATTTGCATCTTTGTAAAGAAAGCATGCAAATGGAAAGTAGAAAACAAACAAACAAAGCTCCTTTAATAGTTAAACCAAAGAAACTATATCTAAATTCCAAAATATACCTTGACCTAATAATGTCATCATTATGTCAAGGTTCTTAATTACATCTGCTAAAGCAAGATGATCTCATTGGAAAAACAAACAAACAAACAAAACAACTAATAATGCATTTGTTTCAACCTTTTAGAACTAGTTAGTGTACATGACTGGGTATTGCTTAAAGCTAAAGTACTGTGGATTAATCAAAACCTTTTCAGGATTACAGGGTCAATTAGACGGCCAATGAAATGGTGAGTTGGTAAAAAAAAAGAATGTTGTGAATTTTGCCTTGCCTCGATGGAGCGTTTGAAAATGGAGCCGGGTGAAGGGGAGTGTCTCTGTAACCTGACGACATGGTTTACATACATAAGGTAAATTAAAAGAAAAAAAAAAGAAAACACATGTATTTCTTACTGTTACTCTATTGTAGAGAATGTTTTCTCTCACCTGTACTCCCCGAATGTCCCATCGTCCTCCTTCATAGGCTGGATCTCTGGGTCTTGATGGGCATCTTCTTTCTCTTTAACTGCAGACACCACAATGAGAGCCTTTTAAATATGTACTCTCCGCAGTCATGCAGTTTACTGGTGCCAGCTGTGCTTTACCTGGATATTTGCCACCTTTGTTTCTCTTGATGAAGCATACGATGAGAAGCACCAAGATCAGCAGAGCGATGGCGCACATCAGTCCGATGAACCAGCCCTGCGTGGCGATGTCTACCTGCCGGTTGGGGACAGCTGGAGGAAAAGACGGAGAGAGACAGGAAGGCGGAAAAAGAACAAATGGAAAGAGTGAGAACAACCGGCTGAGTACATTTGAAGAGATGCACCAATAAATGGGCGGGAGATCTGAAAATGGCTAACTTAGCTTGTTAAAACAGTCGTTCTAACCAACGACTGTCTGGTTAGAACATTAAAAGCATGAAATCTTTCCTATTGGCAAATTAGGAAACAAGATGCACTACAAACGTAGCTAAGCTCAAAACTTAGCTATTTTCTGTAGCAGTGAGGTGTTTAAAATTAAGTCTGAAAAAGCACAAAAGTAGAAATTGTTGAGACGAGACTGTTTTCACATAAAAAAATATCTTGAACTCATCCAAGTAGCTATAAATAAAAAGGAAGCAACTGTTCTTCTGTCTTATCCTTCCGAGGTTTTGACTCTCTTGTTATTGAACCTGCTGGATTTATAAAAGTTGAAATTTAAGCTAAAGTCCATAATTTCCATTCACACACAAATAAAGAAAATTGCTACGGTTAGTAATCCTACCCACTCACATAGTGGCCACTCTTACAAATATTTATTGACTGCTCACATTGTGAGAATGGAACAAAACAAACAAAAAAACCCATTAAGTCTTGTTTAAGGTTTGATCAAACTGGAGATCAGAAATCTGCCACTAATCTTGGTGCATCTCTTTACATTAATAGTGAAACTTAAATGTTTGGGTGGTTCTTGTCATGGAGTCCAAAACTAAAGTTAACAGAGACTTCAAACTTTGAAATGAAAATTCAAAGATGGATCAACATGCAGATTTTTTTTTTTGAAACATTAAGTAAAATGACAGAGGGAATAGAACACAAATAACAGAAAAAATGATATTAGAGTAATTATTAATGTCACATGCGACATTCATTTTGCTTTGTTCTTTTTTTCTTGAAGTTTATTTATTGTGCTTTCATATTTAACATGTCATGTCTTTCATAATCCTTTCATTGAGTAAAAAATTGTGATTTTTTTTTTCTGGATATTATATGAGTCCAGAGAGAAGATTTAAGGATTTGAACACAGCGCAGTTCAGATTCTCTCATGTGTTCTCGTCTGTAAAGATTTGAGTTTATTCCTGTAGGAGTTGCTTTCGGATTACACATGCATCACAACTATTGAGTGAAACACCACTGAAGGTAGGTCTGATTGGACACAAACTCCTCCCAAATTCTCAATAAAATCTTTTTGACAAACAAGATCTTTTCAAGAGATCAACTATTTTAGAAAAAAAGAACAAAATCTGAAACATGGCGTGAGGAGCAGGTGAAATGAAAATGACCTGAAGTAAATGACGACAGCTACAAAACGACTACATTCACGGCTGACTGCAACAGTCGATGCCTGGTGACTGAAAACAACAGAAAACCGACTTAAATCAAACACAAAAGACAGCCTTGCACCCCGAGGCACGCCGCCTCACCTGGCACTGTGACCGACACTTCATTGGTCTTGTGGACCGCCGGGCCGGCGCCATCTCTAGCTACCACGCGCACAGAATAGGATGTCCCAGGCTTTAGGCCTTTTATAGTATGCGAATGTGTACCATTTACTGACTCCCTTTTCCACTCATCACCTGGAAGTGGTGCAGCGCATGGAGAGGGATTAGAGTCGGACAACGTTTGGAAGAGCTGTATGCACATGGAAAATGGAGGAAGCAAGGAGATCCCTTACTGTTTTCTACAGCATATTCCACAAATAAATTCTTATTGTGTCCAAAGTATTCCCAACTGATCACTAGGCCTTCCTCTGACACAGATGCGTTAACCGTTCCGAACACAGACCCAGCAGAAGTCACTGGGCAGACAAAAGAGAAAACAGATGTTCTTATTTAAATATGAAACAGAAATTTCAGCTTAGAATTTTTTTTCATTTTGATCAAGTTATTATATATATATATATATATATATATATATTTTTTTTTTTTTTTTTTTTTTTTTTTTTTT